GTGTTGCAAGTCCTTTGAGCTAAACTAAAGCAAACATGCGGCTTAAGATCTCTCTCAGCTCTGCTGAGTTTACAGATTTATGACCTGGTGAAGAAGCAAAGGTGAAACTGTTGAGATTTAAGAATTAGACCAATGGTTGCTGTCAAAAATTAGCTGCATCAATAAACAAGTTCCAACATTAAGTAATTTTGATTCAAGCTCCTTGTTTTACACTTCCTTTCAGTCCATCTAAGATGGGAGTTTCTCTCTCCTGGTGTTCTGGCCAACAATCTCCAAATAAAATCAATCATTTACTTCTTGATTGTTTGTGGGGATGTTGCTGTGTGCAAAATTGGCTGCTGCATTGACCTATAAAACACAGTCACCACACTCTACAGTAAATCCTGTGAAATGTTTTCAGACGTTCTCCCGTCATGTTATATCAAAAGTAAGGATTATTATAATTATTATTTATTATTGTTGAATTGAAACAATTGCTCTTAAAAGAGTCAGTATAGGCAGGATGGGCCTAATTGACCTTGTGTGTTGTAAATTTCTTTGGTTCTGTTATTGTATCTCCACTCAGCAACTCCCCACAGGAATACAATTAAGATCAGAAACTCACTGTGTGTGACATTGGCATAAACCTGTATCCTATCACTCCGTGCCACAATTCATGAGAGCTTCAACTTTTATACTGTTGCCCCCTTCCCCCCCCACACACACAGCGACACACACGCAGTTAATGAGATGACATTGGATGTCGGAGTACCTTGTGATCTAATTTATTTATTAATTTTGTAACCAGAAACAGGAGGTTAGAAAATTATAATTCTTCACGATGATAAAAGATTTTCAAAATATGTATCCTTGCTGAGGATCGTAGCAATAAGCTAGTGTATTCTAGCCTTTGATATAAATAGTAAATAATAATAATCTCACATACGATCCAGCCTCTTTCACGTCAGGAGGACGATTCAAAGCGCTTCACAAAATTCACTGTAAAAATCTAGTGACTGCGTATTTTTACAAACAAACGTTAACAAAATCACAGTTTCTGCTTGTCCCAGGTGGGAGCCCTGATTTCTCAAGCTAAGGTGTGTCTGACGTTAATTTTATTTGCACAAAATGCAATTTAAAAATTTTTTTTGCATTTGAAGAAGCGAATGTTACCTCGGCCTCGGCTGCAATCGTGAGTGAGGATTTTGTTCAGTGGTTTCCAGGGACTGAGATAACAAGAGAGAGCTAAATCCCTGGCTGGAAGCTGGCAGAGCGCAGATAGGCTCCCTGAGTCGCAGCCACTGGGCTAGGGATTCTGCTGTCAATAAATCAATAGATAATGTTCACTGTCTTAAATATGGTTCAAGCGACTGTTGTCAAGTGGCTGTTTGATAGATGGACAGCGGTCAGCGGGACTGCAGATAGGCAAGAGGTGACTATCACCTTGAGGTGGAACGTAGATTCCCATTCAATCCAGCGCACATGGAGACTGAGCAATTATACCCCAAAGCTCACTGAGAAAAACAACAGCAGCAAATGACATTTGTATAGCATCTTTCATATCAGGAGGATGTCCCAAGGCGCTGGACAGTCAGATCTCTGCCTGAAACCAAAGGGAATGGGATCAACTGTGTGGGAAAATGGGAAACGCTTCCACAATTGAGCTGCTAATTATAACGGCAACAAACCTGCTTATTCATAAATATCATTGAACTTACCAACAGCAGCAACAAGTTGCATTTACATAGTAGCCTTTCATGTGTGATGGACTACACTGCACAGTGTCTCATAGCACTGCACTCGGGGTGCAGTAATGTTAACTGCTGGAAAGATGCATTGAGGATACAATACCAGGAAGGGATTACTGTTTACATAATTAAACAACGTTATATTCTGCACAGAAGGAGGCTGTTTGACACAGTGTGTCCATGGAACCTACCTTTCTAACTCATCCTTTTCATATTCCACTCTCTAGCCCATTCTCAATATTGTTCCTGCTGAGCTTCACATCCAGTTCCCCTTCGAACGACCCTGGTAAAGAATTCCAAACTCTACAATCCTCAGAGTAAAGAAATTCCTTCTACATTAATTTCTACCAAACATTCCTGAGCCCGTGCTCCCTCATCACCAAGTCCTGTTCCAGAGAATGAGCAGCACAGGCTGAACCAAGATCTCTCTCTTGGTTGCAAAGCAGTCCATGTGTCCCCACAATGGCTAAGAGCATCCAAAGATTACACAAAAGGATGGATACAAAGTCAAGTGGTTATGCAGAGTTTCAATGGAATTGTTCACAAGAACCGTACAATCTCTGTTGACCTTTTCACACTCTTCTCGCCTAGTATTTGAAGGTCACTCATTGACAGGGTATAATGTTCAAGAAGTATAATTAATGTGAAATGAAGTGTTTGGCCTGTAAAGTGTCAATCTGAAAGCCATTTAAAGAAAATTCACACAATCTGTGATATTAGTAGTACATGACTAATCGATGGGTAATCAATAGTAGAAACAGTCATCTCAAATTTTAGTGTTGTGCAAACTACTGTAGGTGTAATAATAAATAATATTCTTACTTTTGATATGGCATTGATCACATTGAGAAGACTTCTCAAAGCACTTCACAGGATTTACTGTAAATTAGTTACTATGTGTTTCGTAGGCGAATATGGCAGCCAATTTACGAACAGCGACATCCCACCAACAGCCGTGACTAATTGTAGTGAAGCTGAATCTTTCCCAAGCTGTTCCCGAAAGGAAATCCAACACAACACAGAAGTCTTTCTGACAGTTTGTGATCTTTCACCTCTGCTGGTTTCCTGTGCTCCAAATTGGGGAGGTCACATTGAATTGCAGTTGTATAGCACACTTCATTCGTGTCTCGGAGCGAGCGCAGGTGCTATTTAATGCAAGTTGTTGTTGAATTTCAGGTAAAGCTTTGGGGTGTCAATGTACCTTCATTGATTTGTTTTTCTTTCTATAAACAGTAAAAAATAGATATTTGATATACAGTGGGGCTCATGTCCAAGCTACAGAACACTGAGCTTGTTGATGGTCATGCACGTTGTTGTTGGTCATGTCCTTGCACGACCCACTGTTGCATTAATGACATAAATACCAAAAACAATAAGGTTATAATAATAACCCTTGCATTTGATATAGCACTTTTCACGTCTTCTCGACGTCTCAAAGCGCTTCAAATAGACTGTAAAGTGAATTGACCGTATATTTGTGGGCGAAACGTGGCAGCCAATTGCGCACAGCAGCGTCCCACAAACAGTCATGGATTGAATATGACCAATTTTTTATTATTGTTTTGTTTTGGAGGAATTATTATTAGGCGTGTGGAGTAAGGAAACTTGCCCAAGGTTTTGCCCTGCCTGGAATTGAACCCAGGTGTCTTGCTTGCAAAGCAAGTGCTCTAACCACTGAGCTACAGGAATCCACAGGTTAATAATCACAGATTGGCCACAAGTTTTTTTAAAATCACACTTGAATGTGGTTTTAAGGAAAAGAAGAATGTTTTTACATTTGGTTGGCAAAGCTCTCAATTTCTCAACTCTAATTCTTCAAAACGTTTTACACACAATGACAGAAACACTCTCAGCTACTGTGTAAAATGGCAGTCAAGTTAAAACCCAACAATGTTTCTGAGCAAATTTCTCAGTGCATTTTATGGGGGCTACAAGCAGAGCACATTACAGTATTGTAACAAAGCTCTTGCTCTCTCACTCCCTGGGCCTTGTCAAAGCACATTTCCCAATTAGGAGCTAAAAATATTCCCCTCCTGTCTCCATGCGGTATTGATTTTGCCTGTAGCAGTGTCTATGAACACAGGGGGGAAAGGTGAAAGTACCCAAAGATCAGCTCGGTTTTTCTTTTCAGAAAGCAGTGAGAAGCTCTGCAAGTCTGATTAGCCCAACTGACCACTGATAGGGAATCGGAATCAATAGCCAATCGACCCTGGCAAGCAATGCAAATGCAGATTGGCTGTAGGTCAGAGTGTTTTAATTCTAGCCAGAGGTAAGCTAATCAACGAGGAATCCAGGGATGTGATTATTTCTGCTCAACTGCTAAATTCAAGCTCGTTTTCCACATTAACAGATAATGCAGTGGAGTCTTGCCAGAGTATGTCTTGGTTAAATGTCCGTGAGATTCTGCCCAGTTTATCTGATTATGTCCCTGACATTTTACTGTGATCAGCATCATTGCTGCTCTCTCACCAAGCTTCACATCCAAAATATTGAGATCAGAAGAAGCCTTTTTGTTTCATTTCAGCACCTCGGCTGTTCCGATCTTGTTGCCACAGTTCCGCGTATATATATTTGCTTTTTTTAAAAACATGCAGTGCTTTAGACACTGTCGATTATTGACTTATTATTCTGCAGAAAACCTCCTCCCGCCACATCATGGGTAAAACTAGCAACTGCAGGACATTGATTCCCGCTCAGCCTCTCAGCCCTAAAGCTGCAGCGTTGGCCCAGTACATGTACACCCACCATATCTGGTCTGAGCCATGAGCTTCTCTTTCCCGCTGCAGATAATAACAATGTTCAGGCCTTTCACAGCTGTCGCTGTACTCAC